CTCTTTCCATCATTCTTGGTCTTTAGAATGGGAACACCCACTTATATTAATTCAAGAAAATCTTGTATAAATATTTTCAACAACCTCTGGAAGTAATTAAATAAATTTTAATTATTCTCAGAATTTATAATTTTCAAAATTTATAATTTCCAAAAATTATTATTTTCGGATACGAAAAAATTTATCCTCTATCAAATATCCCTTTAGCGTGTAAATATATTACAAAAAATTTGTTGAGTTTGAACTAATTGATATTGTACATTACACTTGTTGATAAAAAGAGGGATGTTGGTATTTTGCCTCATCTCCAAAATTTAAAATAGAATGCACATAATTAAGAAGCTTCAAGGAAAAGCAAAATAGAGACTATAATAAATGTATGTGCAAATGTTAATCTAATTGATGGTTTATTATTATTTTTTTTAACAATAACCATGAAGTTATCTAAAACTATTATCGAAATCAATTGTATTTTACCGATACACATAAAAAATATGAAAGGGATTCCAAATTCTTTAGTTTAAACATTTTAAAATTAACTTATATGTCTAAATAATCACAATACAATATTCAAATATATTGTAGTAGTCTACTATACATGAATTAAATCTAATTCGAATATTTAGGACTTCATCGTGTACATATCAATTAGTTAGATTTAGCTCAGCTTACGAATTCATATAATATATATATTGATGCATTTTCTAAGTTTAGAACTATATTTTTTATGCAATTATTATTTGTACATGTTTTGGTAAAACAAAATCTGACATTAAGAAAATAAGAGATAAAATTTGAATACTTAGTTGTATTTTATTTTAAGTTTGATAGCCACATAAACACGTTGGAGATCAAGAGACATTTAGGAGTGGAGTCGAAATTTAACCACATGCTCGTGGGTTATAGTTATAGTTGTCATGGGAAGAGTTTTTCCGAAGTCTCATAATGAATGCAAAATGTTTTCGATCTAAAAAATGCATTAAAGGTAACTCGTTCACTTATCCAAAGTCAAAATATTTAAAAGTGTATTTTATCGTGTCTTAACCCTGAAATAATATCTTATATTTGTTTGTCCTATGTTTATAAGTTCATGATTTCTATAATTTTTGCCCTAAAATTTAAAAATGATTAGCACTAAATTATGATATTTAACTCGTATATTAATTAATAATATTGATTTTCATTTAAATCTCATAATTTGATAAATATTTGACAATTTTTAAATACGGATCGCTAACTTAAACATTGTATATCGATTAGATAGCTCAATCAAAATATTTTGGAGATGGTTAAAATTTAAAAACAAAAATAATATGCAACATACTGGTGTAGAACTGATATTCAAACTACGATGATGTTTAAATGTAATCGATTACCTAAACAAAACGGATAAAAAGTATTGAGTGTTATATAAAAGAAGTTGGTAATAGTCCAACTCAGTCATTATGTTTAATTGGTATTACTCAATCGTAATTCTTTTGAGAAGAGGCTACTCAAGTCTTCCATCCTTAAGCACAAAGTGTAAGATAGCTACAAAGCAATTCAGATAACATTACGGAACCACTAAAATGATTTTTTCTCTCAGTACAATCTATAACTCATTCAGCGTTGCACCTGCTTATTTCTCGTGATAATTAATGCAATGCAGCCGAAGATCATTGGTGCCACGTGTCTTCATTTATATCACCCCATTTGCACTCACATGCTTAGGACTACTCTTTAGGTTAGGCAAATTGGCAATGCTGAATGCACTTCCAGGCAGAGGGAGGGGATAAATATAATTTTTTTTTAAAGCAGGTATAATTTCTTATACTAGTTAGTCTTATAAAGATAATGTAGCACTACTTGTTTAAAAAATAATATATATAGATATTTAACTCTTTGAACTTTACATCATTTTATAAATAAACACTTTAAAATTTAATTTTGTTTTAATTGATTTTTAAGTTTTACTTCTTTCATAAACATCTTAATTTTCATTTTATCTCAATTAATTGATTCTTAAATTTTACTTTATTTACATACAAGCACTTTAATTTCAAACTCATCTAAATTTATTTAATATAAAAAAATAAGGAATTATAACAAAAGAATTAGAAGAAAAAAATTAATGAATGATTGACATTTAACATAAATAATTTTTTTCTAATTTGATATAAAGAGAAAATATAAATTTTTAAGGATGTAAAATAATGAGAGAATAAAAAGGTTAAAAACGTCATTTAAAAAAAGTTAACTTCAATGATTGATCTACTCTTATATTAACACAAGTGGATAAGTGAGAGTTTTTTAAGAGTTTCTCTTTAACATATTATAAACTTTTCAGAAGTTGATTTTTATGTTCATTCAATCCTTACTATCCCTTTTTCTTGTTGTGGGGTTAGTGATATATAAAGTAAAAATGATATTTTTTCCTTACTTTAGCAAGAGAAAGCAAGTTTCATCATACCAGATTAGTTAAGCTCTTTATTTATGATAATTTTCAACTTATGTGATAAAACTTCAATAATGATCTTATAAGATATATTGTATTGTTTGGTTGAAATTAATGAAGTTAATCCACTTTGAGAATTAGAATTATAAGGGTAAAATTTATGTTAATCGATCAATTAGGATTGTTCCAATTCTCTTTAACCAATAAAACAAAGAACAATGATAATAATATTTTATTGATTTCGATAAAATCTTGTTAAAAAACATATTCCCATATATTCTAGATTTATTTCTTCATTGTCTCTCATCACTTAGACAATGACAAGGGATAAATTAGAATTTGTAAAGAAAATGATAACAAACATTTTTTAAGTATCTTTTTTTGACACATGCATTATTATTAAATAAAATTAATATATTAAATCTCAAATAAGTATTAAGTATGTGTTTGAAAACATATATGAAACACATAAAATGTATTAAAATTGTAAAAAAAATTACAACGAAATTTGTCTAAATTTATTTTATGTTAGTGATTTAATAAAAATATGTTTTTGTTGTGTACAAGTACAAATACACATGATAGATACATACTTTTATTGTGTTTCTTATTTCACAATTCAACAAAAACATGTTTAAGTTATGTAGATACCGGATACACGACTAACAATTAACAATTATTGACTAATTAATTCCAAAATGCAATTGACATAAAACTCACTAAATAATTAACCATTATTTTTTTAACTAAAACAACACAAAATAAAACTATATTAACAATGGAAGTTTCCTTTATATGATATTCCCACAAATTAATGGAAAAAATAAGTTTATGTTGTGTTGCAGGATGGTGTTAAATGATAGGATAGGACTACTTTTGTTAAATAAGATGTTATTTATAATGTAGGGGTTTAAATAATAAAAAGCGAGGTGCGACTAGTACTCCCAAAGCCCCCTCCACAACACAGTAAGATTCGAATTTTTCGACCGTTGGGACCGTTTCAGACAAGGTAACGGTTGGTACAAGGTGAAAACTTCCAGAGCCGTTGCCTTCACCTTTTGGCCCTCTCCAATATCCTTAAAATTAACAAACACACACAGACAAACACAGAGAGAGAGAGAGAGAGAGAGAGAACCTCACTCACTCATGGGCTGCGTCTCCTCAAAACACATGAAGAAGGACCTGAAGCAGGAACATGTCCCCGACACCAATGGCTACGGTTACGTCAACCACGTCGTTTCCCTCACTTCCTCCACCTACGGAGCACTAACGTTGGACAAAGAAAAAGACCAACCCACAAACACCGTCGAAGAATCGAAAACATCCCCTCCTCGTACTCACCAACAACCCGAAGTCATCAACGCGTGGGAACTCATGGAGGGTCTCGAAGAGGGAGCACCCATTTCCAAAAAAAGCCCCAAGTCCACGCCTTTCCTTCGCGGCTTCACCGCCGCCGACGCCAAAACCCCTTTCAAGTTCCTCACCCAATTTGGGTCCCCCAAATCCCTAAAAAAATTCACAGGTAAGGAAAACATGGGAATTCTCAAACCCACTGCAGGTGTGAGACGCTTGAACTACAATTTCAGCCCCAAAGGGATTCTCAAACCCTCCAATTCTTCTCCAATTAGAAGGAACAGTTTCGGGAGTGATATCAAGAGGAGAAGCCCGAGTCCTCTGTTTGATCCAGAGCTTCTCGCGTCCTACGAAAAGGAACTCTCAGAAGAGGAGGAACAGATCAAGAGAATGGTGTGGGCCACACCCAAAACCCGAAGAGTGAGAAAATCTTTGGATTCACAATCTTTTATCAACACTTTTGAGCAAAAGTGTCCTCCGGGAGGGGAAAACTCCGTTGTGATTTACACCACCACGTTACGGGGAATAAGAAAGACGTTTGAGGAGTGCAATAAGGTTAGGTGTGTTATTGAGTCCTATTGCGTGCACGTGGTGGAGCGTGACGTGTCGATGGATTCGGGGTTTAAGGAGGAGTTGAGGAAGCTGATGGGGACAAATGAAGTTAAGGTTCCTGTTGTGTTTGTGAAGGGAAGGATCGTTGGTGGTGCTGAGGAAGTTGTGAAGTTGGAAGAAGAGGGAAAGTTGGGGGTTCTGTTTGAGGGGTTACCACCGAAGGCGTTGGAGGAGTGTGGAGGGTGTGGGGGTGTGAGGTTTGTCATGTGTGTGGAGTGCAATGGGAGTTGTAAGGTTTTGGATGGGAATGGCAAGAAGACTCTGAGGTGTGGACAGTGTAATGAGAATGGATTGGTTCAATGTCCGTTGTGTCGTTGAGGTTGTTTTTCTTCTTGTCAATTCGAATGTTTTTTGTAGGTTGGGTCTAAAGCGTCTTTTAGTTCCCTCTTTGTTGTTTCATTCTTTGGTTGATTTGTATTTGGGGACATGCTTGTTCCTTCTCTAATCTGATTCTAATTCTAATTCTCACGTATCATTAGCTTTTCTTGAGTTTACAGCACTTGTTACAATTTCTTCTAGCTGTTTCCATCTGTCTGAATATCTACATGACTATAACTATTCACTTTAAGAGTTTAATGACATTTGACATGGAATGTGCATATTTTCAGCATGTGGTGGATCCATGAAAAGTGTGACCATATTTGGTCATTTCTAATTCTATGACCCACTTCTGATTTGTTTTTTTGTCAACTGTATCTCCATTTCTACGTTAGAAGGTGGCACATTTGTGTATCTTGTGTGCTCTCTCGTAAGCACTTCACAAGTCAGACGTGGTCCAATATATGATACCAAGGCCAGATTCAAGATGAATTTTTCCATCACTGATTGGTTGGTTCCTTTGGCCGAAAATGTTAAACAATAAAATGATAAAGAAAAAATCAAGCACATCCAAATTTTGCGGCTCATATGTTGGACTGAAGTAAGTTGTTCTCTTTGGTGATTACTTTAACAGAAGTACATTGAAGTTGACCTATTTACCAATCCTGGCTAGTTTTCATGAATGGTGGAGAATTAGTCACCTCCTTTTACTTAATTTTCGATCTAGTGTTTTAAGTTTAATTCCTCAAAAAAGTCAAAACTTGTTTATCATTAATTTACCATTATTATAATTCAAATCAAAGGTAGGTAGCTTTTTTTTTTCTTCTTAGTATTCACATTTCAATAATTTATTATGTAGAGAACATTAAAAACCAACGGTAAAGTCTTTTTAGAAATCAGAAAGCTCTCCTTCAAAATATTATTTAAGAGAATGTCGAATCTCGTTTGGCATATGATACTTGTCTGTTTTCATTATTGTCCGTTGGGTGGAATCATATTTTGAAATACCATAGAACAGGATAGATGCATGTTAAAAGAATCGCTAAAACACTATTTTGGTCCTTTAAAATCTTTTTTGTTTCAATTTAGTCCCACTTTTATTTTTTGTCTCAATTTGGTACTAAACTAATTAATTGGTTTCAATTTAGTCCCTAATAAATTAATTGGTTTCAATGTGAGACTTCCGTCCAAATTTCTTTAACGGAGTTAACTGTTGCATAAGTGGATGCCACGTAGATGCATACGTGGATGCCACGTAGATGCATACGTGGATGCCATGTAGATGTATACGTGGATGTCACGTGGATGATAATTTTTTTAAAATACCTAGACCCAGAACGGCCCGTTCTGAAACCGGAACGAGCCGG